TGGGCTTGGGCTTGGGCTTGGGCTTGGGCTTGGGCTTGGGCTTGGGCTTGGGCTTGGGCTTGGGCGGGGGCGGGGGCGTTGGCGCTGAGCTTCGCGGCCCGCCGCGGCCGCCGCCTGCGCTTGCACGAGCCGCCTTTCTCCCGCAGGGCGGCTTCGGGGCGCCAGGAAGCGCCGAGCGACGGGGGCCCGGCAGCCGGCCTTGCGGAGCGGCCCCCCGACGAGGCCGCGGCCCCCGCCGGCGCGCTGTTGGAGGGCTGCGCGGAGACGGCGGCGGAAGGGCCCGAGGCGGGCCCGGCGGTGGTGTGGACCCCGGCCTACGCCGTGGAGATGCCCCCGTGCCACGGCATCCCGGGGGCCCCCCTCGGGGAGCTGCCCGCCACGGAGCAGCAGGCGCTTCCGCTGCGGCCCCCCGACGCCCCCCGGGAGCTCCCCGCCCGTGGCAAGTGCCTGATCTGCAACTGGCAGGAGGAGGTAAGCGCCCCTCCAGCGCTGGCTGCGCGCGTGGCCCCCAGTCTCCGCGGACCGCCGCTGCTCCCCCGCCAGGCGCCTCTCGAGGGAAGTGGCCCATGGCCGGCCGGCCACCAGGCCAGCCTCATTCACCGCCGCTGGAGAGCCGCTGCAGCCCTGCGTCGCCCGCGCGCCCCGGCTGACCCGCCGGTGCTCCCTTGCAGAGGGCCACCAACGAGCTGGACCGCGTGCCGGGGCCCGAGTGCGGCACGGAGGGGCTCTTCTACCGGCACGGCCACCGCGGGCTGCTCAGCCTCCGCTGGCTGGACGGCCTGGCCAGGAGCACCACCATGAAGGACTCCTACACGCCGCCCTGCAGGAAGGACCTCCCTGTGCGAGGTGGGGCCAGGCGGGCCGGGGGTGGGCGAGGGGCCGGGGAGCAGGCGTGCCGTGGCGCGGAAGGGCCAGCCGCCGCGAGCGGCAGGGAACGGCCTCCTGCTCTGGGCTTCTCTCCCCTGGCTGCACGGCCGGGGCCCCAGGCGGCTCGGCCCGGAGCATCTCGGCGCTGCAGGTGCCCCCAAGGCGCTGCCCGGAGCGGCGGCTCCCTGTCGGCCGGGGAGCCCACTCCCCATGCAGCTTCTGGGGCGATTTTCGAGGGAAGGAAGCTTTGGTGGCCCTGAGAGGGCCCCGCAGCCCGCCAGATTCTCCGCAGCCCAAGGACTGTCCGGGGGCAGGCGGGGTCATGCGGGCCCGAAGGGCGCCTCCTGCCCGTGTCGGCCCTTCTTCCGCTGGTGACTCCCAGGCCTGTGCTGCTCGCTTGGCAGGCCCCTGCGCCCTTGTGCAGGGCTGGCCTAGAACAAGGACAGCGAGGAGTCCTCCGAGGGGCTGCATGCGTGATTTTGCCTGGAGAGGTTACATTTGCCCTGAGAGGGGCTGCCGCCATCTGCCTCGGCAGTTGTGGGCGTCCCTCACCAGCCTGCCCCACGTGGCTTGCGCAGGAGGGCTCCCTCAGTCCGCCGGGGAAGGGGAAGCCTCCGCTGGGCTGATGGGGGCAGAAGGCTCCAGTCCAGGGACGGGAGGGCCGTCTGCTGCCTGGTGCAGACGTGAGAAGGGAGACCGGCCTGCCCCCTCCTTCTGGGGAGGCAACACTGCCTCTGCTCCCCCGCACCCCGGGAGCTGTGGGGCTGAACGTGCCACTCTCCCTCCAGGGCTGCGCGAGGCCAAGCTGGAGTGGCTCCTGTACCAGAAGCACAGGTGAGCGACATGGAGCCTCTGCCCGGAACAGGGCCTGAGCGGCAGGGACCCTCCCCCCACACCTGAGCTGGGTCTCCCCTGGTGGGGGAGCCGCCCCCTCCCCCTCTGGCCTGGCTCGACGTGGGCTGCTTTCAAACCCTGTGTCCCGACAGCCCCCGTCGCGTGGATGGGGGTCTTGGATTTGCCAGGACCGCTGTGCTGTGACGCTCCCACCTGCGGCCCCCACCCGTCTTCCTGACGGCAGCAGTGCAGGGAGGCAGAGCTGCCAGCCCCCCGCCCCCCGGCGGGCTTTTGCCTCCCCATCTGGAGAGCGTACGCTGGAGTGTCCGCGGCCGGAGAGATGGACGGGGCTGCTCCTGCACTGCAGATGCCAAACAGCACTGGATGGCGTGGAGAGCAGGAGACCCCGGTGTGCCTCAGACCGAGGGTTCGTCGCAGCCGGTGTGTGGATCATGCCGTGGCTGGCCAGCTGCTGGTGGAAGCCCCCGCCGGAAGTGGCAATGGCCGCCAGTCAGTTCCCCTTGATGGGCCAAATCCAGGGAGGAAGAGGCCATCGGCCACTATGGGGCTTGCGGGCCCCGCGCCCCCTCCCTCCCTGGGGCGGCCTGACTGTGCACCCCTTGATCAGGAAGAGGCCTCGCGCCGGCCTGCTTGTGGGGCCCTGCTGGCCGCGGACAGAGGGGCCTCTGGCCCAGTCCAGCGGGGCTTCCTCATCCTCCAAGCTGCACACACTGAAGGTCTTTCAAGGGCTTTGCATCCTGTTCCGAGCTCTCCAGAGGGCCGGCGGACACACCGCAGACAAGGCGGCTGCTCTTTTCGCCTTGAGGCTGGGGGTGGGGGGGCTTGCTTATGGAGGCAGCCAGAGGGGTGGTGGGCTCCCTCGCTAGAGGCGCTCAGAGGGGAGCAGGACAGGCATCTGCAGGGATGCGTGGCCCGTGCCCTGCTTTGCCCCGGCCAGCCCTGCTCTTCTGCGGGACACGTGAGCCAGAGCTGGCGGGGCCTGGTGCTGCCGGGTGCGCTTTCTTCCGAAATGGCTGTGCTGTGCGGCTTGCACCCGGTCCCTCCAGCTGTGGGGCTGAAGAGTCACTTCCCACCGTTCGTGCGGAGGGCAGCGCTGGGGCCACGGGGGCCTGCCTCTGCACGGCTGCACTGCTGAGCCCCTGTGGGGGGAAGCATGAAAGGGGGGCAGCCAAGGGGCGCCGCAGCTCCCCTCGTTGTGCAGGGGGGCTTGTCGGAGCAGGTGCGCCTGCACTCATGGCAGATCCAGGCGCAGGGTGCGCGCGGCAGGCCGGGAGCCCGGGGCTCGTGCTGCCCCAGCCTGGGGCTCCGCGTCCGCGGCACACCCTTGGCCCGTGCAGGCCTGCTGCTTCTGGGTCTTCCCAGGCCCCCCTCTGCTAGTCGGGGCTCCTGCAGGGACTGGGGGGGGGGTGCCAGGCGCCCCCGGGAAGCCGTCTCCCTGTAGCTGTGTGCTTGCCCGCAGCAAGGCGCTCCGGGAGGAGGACGTGGACCCGCCGCCCGAGCCCATGGAGGCCCTGTCCACCACGCAGCGGGACTACTGCCTGCGGGGCTCGCTCTCCCCGCCCCCGGCCCCCTCCCAGGTGAGCCACTGCCCATGGCCTCCTGTGCAGCCGCCGCAAGGGAGCCCCCCCCCCCCCGCAAGCTCCCAGGCTGCAGCTGCAGAGCCCGAGTGTGACCCTTGCTCTCCACAGCCCCACGACTACCGGTGGGAGCAGCCGCGGAGCTTCTGGCTGGAGCACGCCCTGCTGGTGCCCGTGAGTGACCCCCGCCGGCTGCTCGGGAAGCCCCTCTGCTCGCCCACTGGCTCGCCTGGAAAGGGCCACCCCAGCACCCGCTGCTCATGCTTTACGGGGGGGGGGGGGCAGGGCAGGCCGTCTCCCCCACTGCAGGGGAGCACATGGATCTTCCTGCCCCTCAGGTCTCTCCCCCTTCCTCCCACAGGGTGTCTCCGACATTCGGACTGGTGACACCCCCTTCCGGAGGAGCGCGGCGTTCACGACCCCCGCTGCCGAGTACCTCGACCAGCCCCTGCCCCATGGCCCAGAGAACTACCCCAAGCTGTAGCCAGGGGGCGCTCCCAGCGCCGGGGTGCGTCTGGCGTGCCACATCGAGCCCCTGCTTGTGCGAGGGCAGCCCCCCCCCCCCCCCGCCAGCCGATTCCTGCTCCGCTGCAGTGGCGGGGCAGCTCTGAAGGGCCTCGTCCCTCTGCAGCAGCCAGAGGCCAGCGACTCCAAGCCGCCCCACGGCCGAGGGGGCCTGAGCCCCCTGAAGGGCTGGGTTGCGTTGTGACTTCAAACACAAAGGTGCTCCGGGTTTAAAAGTCTGTATTTCAACAAAATATTGTGCACTATGTCTGGATTTCTATATTTACACCTGGAGGGGGAAGGGGAAGGGAAGGCAGGGTGGCTGCGGGCTCCACGTGGGGAGCGTGGCTCAACCAGCTGAGCCGTGGAGCCGCGGGGCCTGGATCCAGCCAGTCCGGGGGGGGGGGGTCGGGGGGCAGGCATCTGTGTGTGTGTGTGAGTGTGAGAGAGCCCTGGGAGCAGCCTCGAGCTGCCGTGCGCAGGGGGCTCCGGGGGGGGCCGCCACAGCACGGTTCTTGCGTCTGGGCAAGGGCTCCTTGTGGCAGAGGCATGTGGCGCAGCAGGCGGGGGCATGGCCTGCTCAGACCGGCCCGGGGCCTCCGGTGGAGCAGCGCGTTGGCCGTCCTCTCGCTGCCGGGGCGCGTGGCTCTTGCTGGGAGGTGCACGGCCGCATCAGCTGGTGGCCGCCTTCTGCTCGCCCAGTAGCCAGTACGTCCGCATCTTCCCCTTGCCCTGCCAGGCAGCAAAAGCGGTGGGTGCCCGGGGGCTGCCAGCCGTCTCCGGCCCGTGCAGGGACGCACACGGCGTGCGAGGGGCTGGGTCACGCGTGGGCAGCCCCGTGGCGCTGGTCCGGGGGCCGCAGGCTAGGGACCGGGGCTGGCCCAGCGCTGGACTGGACGGCCCCCTGCCCTGACACCACGCGGCCCCCTCTGCCCGCCCCGTGACTGACGCACCTTCATCTCCACGTCTCCCCGCAGCTCCAACTCAAAGCAGCCGAAGTCATCCAGGATTTCTTTGGTGGTGGAGGAGACATGGATCTTCAGGGCTGGAAGGACAGGCAGTGCGGGGTGAGGGCGTGTGGGGGGGCTCCCCCGGGGCAACCCGGCAGCAGAGGCCCCCGCCCGGCGGGGAGGGGCAGGGTGGGGGCTCACCCTCGCCGTTGGACTCCATGCGCGACGCCGTGTTGACCGTGTCCCCAAAGAGGCAGTAGCGCGGCATCTTGAGGCCCACCACCCCGGCGCAGACGGGCCCTGTGGGGCGAGAGGGGCAGTTCGACTCTGCCCCGGACGGCCCCCTCCCCTCGGGCCGCGCGTGCCCGTCCCCCCCCCCCCGGGACTCGCCTGAGTGGATGCCGATGCGCAGCCGCAGCTGCTCATGGGGCCGGTGCCGGATGCGAAACGTGCGCACCGCCTCGAGGAGGGCCAGCGCCATGCGGACGATCTCGTGAGCGTGCAGCTTGCCGTTCCGGACCGGCAGGCCCGACACCACCATGTAGGCGTCGCCGATCGTCTCCACCTGCGGGGCGGGGGCGGCCCATGAGGCAGCCGCGTGCTGGGGGCCGCTGCCCCACAAGCGCACGGCCCGGCCCGGCTCCGGGGGAGCGGCCCCACCAGCTCGCACTCACCTTGTAGACATCGAAGTTATCGATGATGGCGTCGAAGCAGGTGTAGAGGTCATTGAGGAGCGTCACCACCTGGCGCAGGGGGGAGGCAGGCGAGTTGGCTGGGGCCGACGGGGACTGGAGCGGCAGGCCAGGTGCGGCAGGTGCTCGAGAGGGTTCCCCGAAGGAGCTGAAGGGGGCTGGTCCCCACGCGCCCCCCGGCTTCACAGCGCCCTGCGGGGCCGGAGCTGCGGAGCCCCTTCCCTGCCATCGGGCAGTCGTGGGCCCTCGGTGTGCACAAGCCGCCTCGCCACACGGAAGCCATTCAGTGGCACACGTGATGCGTGGCCCCCAGTGCCATCAGGGCAATCGCGGGGGGAGCAAGCAGGCCCTGCTGGCCCGCCCTTTCCACTCAAGTGGCGCGCCTTGGAAGGCACGTGTGGCAAGCGACGCTCGCTCCCCATGCATCTCCCGCGGCCGCTGGACTTGGGCTGCTCCCTCCGGGGCCTGGGTCAGGGGGGTGTCGGCCAAGGCCCCCGGGAGCCCCCCCCCCTTCAGCTCTGTAGCCCATTAGTTCCCATCCCTGGTTCTGCCTGGCCACAGGCGGGAAGGAAGACGGGGGGCGCTGGTGCCTGCCCACTCCCCACCCTTCCGACGGGCGAGCGGGCGAGTGGGGGCTGTGCCAAGGGAGGGGGGCCCTGCTGGGGTGGCGAGCAGCCCCGGGAGAGGTGGACCAGCCAGGACCCCGGAACAGGCCCACCCGGGTGGCCGTGCAGCAGTCGCCCTCTGCAAAGCGCCTGCAAGGGGCGGTGGCTGAAGGCACAGGCCTCGCCAGGGCCTCCTGGCTGATGTGCTGCTGTGGCCCCCGTGCAGCTTCCCCGCCAGGCTCGGGGCTTGCGCAAGGCGCCGCTTCACGGCCCCCAGGGTGGCGCCTCCTCCCCTGCTGCCCCCTCCCCGCCACCACTGCCTTGTTCGGCCTGCCCTTTACCGACTGGGGCAGCCCTTCCGCCTGCCCACCACTGATGCAGAGGCGCTGGCCCGAGTGCCGGACACGTGGGGCCGAACCCAAAGGCGGGAGGCCGTGCCAGGTGCGTCCCCAGGAGGGCTGCCGCCCCCTCGGCCGGCTGCAGGGGGGCAGCATGTGGCCCGGCTGAACCTGCTCCGGGCAGGGCGCCAGCGGAGGGGCCCCGTGGGGCTGGCCCCCCACCCCCGTGCCACCCGGGGCCCATTGCTGCGGTGACCTGCATGGGCGTGCTCTCTGCCGACAAGGAGGTGAAGCCCACGATGTCGCTGAAATAGATGGTGACGCAGTCGAAGGCCTCGGCCCGCACCGTCTCGCCGCGCTTCAGCTGCTCGGCCACCGAGCTGGGGAAGAGGCGGGCCGTGAGTCCTGCGCCCGCGGCTGGCCCCCCCCCCCCGCCCCCCCCGCTCCAGCACGGCCGCCGGGGGCGCTGCAGAGCCCCCACGCCAGCGGCCACTCACTGCGGCAGGATCTGGTAGAGCAGCGCCTCGGCCTTGCGCTTCTCCTCCAGGTAGGCCTGGGTGCGCTCCTCCACCAGCTTCTCCAGGTTGTTGGCGTACTGCTCCATGCGCGACAGCAGGTTGTCCAGGATGCTGGAGCTGCCCTCCCTGCAGTGGAGCAGCCTGTCAGCGAGGGGCCCGGGACGGCTGTCCCACCCGCCCTGTGGGGGCACCCCCAGGGGCACGCGAAGCCACCCCGTGCACTTGTCGGTGGCACCGTGGGCACCTTCTCTGCAATGCCCTCCACTGCAGCCGAGGCCACGGGGCCCATCCATGGGCTGGCGTGCGTCACTCGAGCAGGACGGGTGCGAGGCCCCTGCCCGAGAGGCCACCGGCAAGGCTGTGAGCACGAGAGCCGCCTGTGGCAATGGAGTGGCAGCGGCCGGCAGGCCCCGTCACAACCGATGGCCTCTGCCCCGTGAGATCTGCAGTCCCTTTTTGAAGCCCTCTGGTTTGGCAGCTGCCGCCACCCCACAATTTCGACTACACACAGTGTTAAGTTCTTCCCCACCCCGTGCATTAATGTCCGCACCTTTGCCAGGCCACCCCTAAGCTGAACAGTCCCAGGTGTTGTGGCCGCTCCTCACGGGGAGCGGCTCAGCCCCGATTTTTGCTGCCCTTCTCAGCACTTTCTCCAACCCAGTGACGTCCTTGTCCAGGTAACGTGGCCAGAACTGAATGCAGTATTCTAAGTGTGCTCATGCCTCATGCCAAAGATTTGCACACGGGGAGCACCGTCTTGGCAGTTCAGTGCTCTAACCCATTCCTACGAATGCCTGGCGTGGACTCGGCCTTCTTCGCGCAGCTGCGCACGGGCCGACTCAGACCCGGCTGCGCATGCCAGCCCAAGGCCCCTCCCGGCTCGGCTCAGTTCACATCAACCTACACTGGAGCCAGGGGTTTTTCCCCCATGTGCATTGCTTTACATCCCTCCAGCCTGGAGAGTGCTCTTTGGAGCTCCAGGCGGCCCCTTTTGGGTTTAGCCCCCTTGAACAGGCTGGTGTCATCTGCCTACCTGGCCACCTTGCCGCTTGCTCCTCATTTCAGGTCATTTTTGGAGATTGAAAAGCCTTGCGAAAGCAAGGCAGAGGCTGTGGGGCGCCACTGCTCCACCTCTCCACGGGGAGAGCTGCCTCTCACTCCTGCTCAGCTACACTTTAATCCGTTTAGGATCCTTACGAGGGACCCCGCCACTTTGCTCCATGGCTGCTTAGTTTGCTCAGCACTTGGGAGTCCGAGCAAACAAAGTCTCCCGCGCTGCCCCCGTCTCTGTGCTTGTTGAAATTCCTGGAGAGCCAATGAGTTGGTCAGAGGAGACTTGCCCCTGCGGAAGCCGGACGGGTTCCTTCGGAGGAGGGCCTGCCCATTGTGCTTACTGATTATGCAGAACAGATATCAAGCTAACCGGCCTGGAATTTCCTGGGTCTCTTTTTAAAACTGGTGAACCCATGTCCGTGTGTGGCTACTTTTGGCTTTTGCTTCCTTTATGCCTGAGAAGCCAAGTGTGGCACGGTCATTCCCCCCCCCCCCCCCCATTTCCATGGCTGCGACTTTGCCCATGTTGGTCGATATCAAGTATAGGACAGCCCTACTTCTCGCTCCTACTTCTACGTGCTGCTGGAGGAAGTTGTTGGCAATGCATGTTTGGAACCTCCCGGAGGGGCCTTTGTTGGCAGAATTTGCCTCCCGACGGAGATCAGGGAAACGCAAGTCCCCACAGCGAGGACAAGGATGCTGGCAGTTTGGTTTTGAAAGCTTGATCCTCATCTTCTTGACTGAGTGGCTGGCAATGTGCTCCTCTTGTTCCCTGTTCGTTCATATTGGTCCAGACACACCAGAGGGGATTACTGGCTTCGCCTTCCTGTATTTCTTTGCAGAGATGTGTATCTTTAACATATATTGCAACTCTGCTTCCTTTCTGTTCCTTTCCTTGGACAGGTTATTATCCGTTGATCTTTGCATTCCAGGCATGGGAGTCCATCCCACCAAGCGCCAGTGCGGCCTATCAGGTTCGTGTCATTTGTTTCCCATACTCTGGGCGTGACTGTACAGACATCGAAGGCCGTGTGAATTACCCTGGCTTGCTCCCTACATTTTTTGGAAGCCTGTTTCAGGCCCTGCTACAGCTGCTTTTTCTGTTGCAGTGCATAATCCTTTGTCATAGAATCAATCACAGACTCATAGAATAGTCGAGTCAGAAGGGGCCGTGAAGACCATCAAGTCCACCCCCTGCTGCTGCAGGACACCAAGTCACACCATCCCAGAGGGCTGCCCAGTTCCGCCTTGGATGCCTCCAGTGTGGGAGACCCCCCCACCCACCTCTCCGGGCAGCTGGTTCCACTGCTGTATTGCTCTGACAGCAAGGAAGCTTTTCTCGACGTCCAGCCTGAATCCAGGTTGTCGCAGCTTGAACAGATTATTCCGTGTCCTGCACTCTGGCATTAGTGAGATCTTGACCTTCCTCTTTGTGATAGCCTTTGCAGGACTTACAGAGGGACACCGTGTCCCCGCTCAGTCTTCTCAAGGCTGAACATGCCCAGTTCTCTCCGCCTCTCCTCACAGGGCAGCGTTTCCAAGCCCTGGATCATTTTGGTTGCCCTCCCTGGACCCTTTCTAGTCTTCCTGCTTCTTTCTTAAATCTTGGTCCCAGATCTGGACATAATATTCCAAATGTGGTCTGTCTAGGGAAGGTGTAGGGGACCTACTTCTTGTGATTTGGAGGTAACACTTGTAAAAATAGAATCTGCCCTTTTGGTGGCCGCATCTCGTCGTCGTCTCACGTTCAGCCAATTGTCCACAATTACTCCGAGGTCCTTCTCAGTTCTGTTTGCCATGTACCCCCCACCTTGCATCAATGCCTCTGATCCGCCGGTTGATGCTGTGCCTGGAGGCCGAGCTCCCTCTCCTGCGCAGCCGGGATTGAAGCCTTCCCTATCAATGCCCTCGCGCTGCTGCCCAAGGCGTCCCTCCCTTCCTTTGTGAGGGGCAGCGCAGCCCCTCCAGCAGCCCACGGCCCTCAGCACCTCGCATTCAGCCAGGAGCTCCCCTGGGTACCTTCCCCATCTCCTCCTCCCGGACAGGCTGGAAGGGGGCTCCTCCAGGCGGTCACCATGGCGCTCTGCAACATTCACGCCTCTTCCCGCCTCTCCTGCACTTGGCAATTCGGAACTTCCTCCTGCCCATCCACCCACTAGGAACGATTTGGCCCGAAGCACGTGCTCCCCAGCGCCCACTGGCTTCCCCCCAGCAGGGCCCAGTTTAAAAGCTGCTGTGCCTAACCCTTCTTACGATGCACCGGCAGCCTGGTTCCATCCCGGTGTGAGCGGAGCCCATCCGGACTGTACAGACCCAGCTTGCCTCAAAAGGTTCCCCAGGGCCTAACAAACCGGGACTCTCCTCTGGGCGCTGCAGCCGTGCTCAGGGGCCAACTCCTCAGCGGCACCGGTGCAGCTGGCCCCGCAGGGGAACTGGTGGCACCTCGGAGAAGCCGCCTCGAAGGCCCTCGACTTCAGCCTTCCACCCGGCAACCCACGTCTGGCTTCCAGGACCTTCCGACGAAATTTCCCCAGGCCACTGGTACTGGCACGGCCTCGGACCACTGACTGCGCCCCCACAGCCTTTGAACCGGGCAACTCACGGCGAGGCCCACGCACCTATCCCGAACCCAATTAGCTACGCTCCTGGTGGTCAAAGCCCCTCCCCCAAAGCTGCCCCCCCCCCCATGCGCGATGCACACTCGCCTTCCAAGGAACGGGTGCTTCCGAACGGACCATTTCCCTCTTCCTTGGAATGTGCCCTCCTTCCCAGAGAGCCCAGGAGCTGTCGCCCTGGGGTTGGGCCCTGCTAGATGGTCCCCAGGGGTCTCTGCGCCCCTCCAGGTCAGCAAGCGTGGCTCAAGGGAATGGATCTGTTCCCCAAAAGCCGGGAGCGCACCACGCATGGCTTCTGTCCAGCTGACGGACCGTCACACCCCATGGTGGCACTCGGTGCAATGACCCAGCCGGCCCCACGCCCGGCTGGCCTCCTGCCCTCGTAATTGGCTTAACCGGTATCGCTGGGCTCCAGCCCAGGGGACTGGCGTTTCCTCTACTTCTTTAGTGGGAAAGGGTGGTGGGTTTCCTTCCCTGCAGCCGCTTGCACTATGCCCCCTCGACTAGAGAAGGGAGCAGGCCCTGCGCCCTCACCTTGGATGGGGCCCAGCCAGTGTGAGCGGGCCAGAGTCGGCAACCTGCGTTCAGACCTTGTGGTCCCTGGCACTAACCGGGTCGCCACATTTTGCGCAAGCAGCAACTTCTGTTGAACAGTTTCAAGGGCAGCCCCGGGTAGTCATCTAGCAGAGTTCACCAGAGGGTGGATTACTGGAAGCAAGTCCAGATGGGGAGTCGTTGGGCCACCACACGGAGCTGGCAGAAGGCACGCCTAGCCACTGAGGCCAGCTGGGCCCCGAGTGCCCAGATGGCTCAAGGAGCACCCCGAGCGGTGAGTCCGCTCCTGCACTGAGAACGGGAGCCCGCCGGAACAGGCTGGCTGCCTCGCCAAGCCCAGGGGTCTGCGGAGTCTCCCCAAGCACCGCCTCCAGAGCTGGCTGGCCATTTGGCGGCAGAACCGCTGCCGGGCCGGGCCGGGCCGGGCCGGGCCGGGCCGGGCGCAGGCATCCCAGAAGAGTACGAATGGTGGGCGGTACTGAGACATGCCGAGAGATCCAGCGAGATCCACGCGGTTGTGCTCCGTCCGCCATTCCCCCAGCACAGAGCCTCGTGCAAGGCGACCGACGCGGCCTGCCAGAACCCAGCCGCACCAGCCCGGCACGGATCCTGGCCCTCCGTTTCGCTCACGAGTGGCTGCAGCGGGTGGGCCGCCACGGGCTCACAGGCCTTGCCCAGGAAGGGGGCGCTCGCTACCAGCCTACAGGTGTCCGGTCTTCTGGGTCAGCGGTGGTCAGGAGGCAGGAGACGCCTCCCTCCCACCGGGCGCACAGTCCCGCAGCTGCTCAGCTGGCGCCTCCCTCCTTGCTGGCTTCTGCTAGCCGAGGGGCACGGACTCGGAACGGAGGGGGCTGCATGAGCTGGTTGGAGCACCGCCTTCCCCAGCCCCTTCCAGCTTATTCACTGGGCTTCTTCCCAGGGGGCTTGCCCAGGCCGTGCTCTGGAGACCTACCCTGATTTCACTGCACTGCCTTTGGAATCGAGGTCCCGGAGGAGAAGAGATCTTGCTGTGGAAACGCCTAGCAAAGACTTTGCAGTGCCGGCTCCCGTGGGGCCAGCACGGAGGAGGCCCTGCACAACCCTAGAGAGCCCTGCCAGCGGAAGGGGAGGGGCCGAGTGGGGGCAGTGAGGGGCTGCGTGTGGGGGGCAGGGGTGAGGCCGAGCGCTGCCCCGCTGCCCCGGCCGCCCTGTGGCCTTCCCCGGCACCCACCTGTTGAAGCGCCGGATGAAGATCTTGACCTGGGCGAAGTCGGGCCGCTCGGCGGCGTCCTGGGCCCAGCAGCGCTCCATCAGGACGGCCAGCTCCTCGCTGTGCTGCTGCGTGTCGATGGTGGGGCGGAAGTAGGGCCGCTGGCTGTTGCGCACCTTCTGCACAATCTCTGTGTGGGCGGGGCGGGGCGGGGGGGCGCACAGGCGTGACTCCATGGACTGGTGGGATGGCGGGGTGGCTGGTGGCAGCGATAGTGATGGGGCGGGAGGGGGTGGCAGGCCACCGCGGCAATGAGGAATGAGCATGAGCGTCCCGGGGGGGGGGGGGGGGGGGGGGACTGGGGAGACAGATACAGAACGTGGGAGTCACTGGGCGGCCACGCTCCAGGTGGCCTGCTCCGCCGGGGCAGCCCTGTGGGGAACCGGGGTCCCCCGAGCGCCACGCATGCCTCCCTCTGCCCACTTCGGCTGCTGGGAAACGGGGGGGCTGCCCGTGCCCCCCACAGTGGGCCTGGTCAGGCCCGGGACGGACGCGCCCCTCCCGTCTCCTCTTGCACCTGTGCCGGGACGAGGGGCCCTCCTGCTGGCCAGGTGCAGGCCGACAGGGGAGGGCACCGGCACGGCCAAGCCCACGCCTCTGCCTCTGCTGGCCAGCTGGTCTCCAAGCGGGGCTCGTGGCCCTCCAGCCTGCGGGTCACGGCCTCTGTGCCTGCGCAAGGGACCTCCCATGCCGGCTCTGGGCACGCGGGTTCCTCTGGGAAGCAACACAAGACTTGAGCATCCCACCGTCGGGCACGGCCACGAGGGTTGGGGGAGCCCCAGCTCAGCTGGGGCAGGGCAAGGGCCCTCTCCTGTGCCCGGGGCCCCCGCTCACCCTTTGGGCTGAGGTCCATGCCCTCGATGTAGAAGGCCCCGTTGCGCAGCGCGATCTCCTGCAGGATGATCCCGAAGCTGTACACGTCGGCCTTCTGCATGGCGGGCGGCGTGTGCGTCTGCGGGGCCTTCTGCAGCAGCTCCGGGGCGGTCCACAGTTTCTCTGGGGGGCGCGGGGGGAGCGGGGCATTAGAAGGCGCTCCTGGGCCCCTCGCCGGCCACGGCGGCCTCCCCGCGAGCGGGGGCTCGGCACTGCCGGGCGGGCTCCCACTCCTCCACGGCCAGGCAGGGGGCAGCGCGGCGGAGCCCCCCGGCACGCCACTCACTGGCATACAGGGCATGGCTGCCCTCGGCCTCGCTGCTCTGGCGGAAGCTGCCCAGCCCGTAATCCGTGATCTTGAGCACGAAGCGACTGTCCACCACGCAGTTGGAGGACTTGAGGCTGCCATGGAAGCCGATGATGCTGCTGTGCAGGAAGGCCACGCCCTGTGCGGGGAGGGAGGGGGCGATGGGGCGCGGCCGGAGGGCCCCCGGGGGCCAGGGGGTCAGCCTGCCTCGTGGGCCTGGCGGGAGCACCGCCGGGAGGACGGTGGCCTCGGTGGGCCCCTCTTCCCGGCCGCCCTGGGCACACTCTGCTTGCCGGGCAGACAGAGCGGCCCCTTCGGGGCCCTCCCCCCCGAAAGGCAGCGGGCCGCCTGCAGGGGCAGCTCCGCTCAGCACCGGCACCGCCTCACACCTTGACGATGTCGTTGATGAGCGAGTAGCGAAACATCCAGTCCAGGTTGATGCTGTCGTTCTCCAGAATGTCCTGTGGGGAAGAGCGAGCGCAGGCAGGCCGTTCGTTCGGGGCTCCCTCCCCCCCGCCCTCCCCGCACGAGGCGGCCCAGGGGGCCGCCGGCCATTCCTGCCCATGCGTCCCGTGGCTGGAGACGGCTCGGGTCCCGCGGGCACGGGCAGGACGCCCCGCGCACCCTGGGGCCGCTGACCCCCCTCACCTGCAAGCTGCCGCGGGGGCAGTACTCGGTCACGATGCAGATGTTGGGCGCGTCGATGCAGGCGCCGATGAAGCGCGTCAGGTGGTTGAACTGGATGTCCCGCATCTGCAGCGGCAGAGCGGCCGGTCTGTGGCGCGGCACTGCGTCCCTCTCGGGTGCCATGTGGCAGGGCACGGGGGGCATGCTGGGATGCGGGGGCACGGGGCACGCGCCCCAGGTGTGGGTGGCGTGGGCATTCGGGGATGCCGGCAGCCCCCCACGCGCCTGCGGGTGCGCATGAGCTTCCCTGCCAGAGCGGCTCAGCTCACCTGCCACGGCGCGGTGGCCCCCAGAGCCCCCCCCCCGCTCGTGACTGCGGCCACGCTGCGCCCGGTACGTACGTGCTTGAGCTCGAAGAGCACCTGCCTCGTCAGCTCGATGCGCTTCTTGTTGACGTGCTTGATGGCCACCACATTGCCCTGGGAGGCAAAGGCGGGTCAGGGGCCGGGGGCGCGAGCGGGCCGGGGGGGGACGTGTCCCCGGGGGGGCCAGCCCCGCGCGGAGCAGCCGGGGCTCACCTTGAAGAGTCCCGTGTTGGCAAAGATCTGGTACTTGCCGTGCGCCGTCATCAGGGAGCCGTAGCTGGAACCTCGCTGGCGCGGGGGAAGGAGACAGCGTCAGCCCGGCGGGCGGCGTGGCGGCCGTGGGGATGCGGCAGGGTGGGGCGGGGCAGGGCGGTACCCACCAGGGAGAGGGTGAGGCGGCTGCCCGCCCCCTTGTGGCAGCGCTCGGCGCTCCCGAACTGCAGCTCCTCCCAGCGGATGCGCCACAGCATGCTGGCCAGCTCCTTCTCCAGCATCAGCTTCCTGGGCAAAGCAGGGGAGGGGTCAGGCCGCGGACCACCGGGCCCAGCTCCCTTCCCCAGAGCCCCCAGGCACCCCCCGCCGGGCGTGTGGGGCAGAGTGCCCTGTCCCCGCGGCTTGTCGCCGGTTGCTGCACCAGGTGGGCACCTCGGGGCCGGGCCACGTGCCACAGAGGCCTCCTGGCCTCCCCACCCTCAAGACGCTCGACTAGAAAGCGCCCCCCACGTGGCCTGGGCGCGAATCCCGTGGCCCCTGCTGTGGTGGGAGGGGCTGCCGGGAGCTCCCTGGCCCTGGGCCCCTGGAGGGCAGAGCGCCACGTGGCCCCTGAGGCCGCCTCCCAGGCCAGCCCCCCACGGGCTGTAGGGAGGGGTTCCCCACTGCAGGATGGTGCCTGCCCCCCACCCATGAAGGCGCCTGCAGGCTCCCCGGTGGTGGGGAGCTTGGGGGCACCCGCACAGCAGCCCTGGGGCTGCCCCGGAGCTCGTCATCGGGGAAAGAGGGGCAGCCGCTCTGCGCTGCAGGAGCGCAACCACGGCCGCCGCAGCGCCCGCGTGACCCCTCTCTCCCCCCTGGGTAGCTCGAGGGCAAACTGAAGGGCCGCTCTGGGGCTCCGCACCCCCCGCCACAGAAAGTGACCGTGGGCCCCAAGAAACCCCGGCTGAGCCCGGCCTCACAGGGCCGTGCTTGGGGCACCTGGCCCGGGATCCGCTCCGTGCCCTCAGGCGGCGCCTCGCAGCATCGGGGTGCTCTGCTCTGCTCTCCCCTCCCCTCCCACACCTGCTCTGCACCCCCACCTCTGCGGGCCTGGCCAGGAAGGCTCTGCCTGCGGCACACTTACCTGAAGATCAGGAAGCTGGACACCCCGAACATGATGAAGGTGAGTCCGGCCCCCAGTGCCACGATGGCCAGGGAACTGAGGGGACCTGTTAGGGGCAGCAGAGCAGACCTGTGGTGCCGGGCGTGCGGGCAGCGTGCAAGAGTGCCCTCCACGCACGCACGGCCATGGGTGTGCCCTGGCACACCTGGGCTCTGGCTCCGGGCGCCTCGGCCTGAGGGGACGGCTCCCTGGACGCTGCCTTCCCCGAGCCCAGAAGCCACCCGCAGGCCGGGAATGGGGCGAGGGGCGGCTGCCCTGCAAGCGAGGGCCGGGGGCACCCCTCTCCCCCAGGCCTGCTGCTGAACTTGGGCATGGGGAGCTGGAGGGCCAGCTGGCCTCACCCAGCCATTCCGGAGCCTGGTGGGGGGGGGGGCAGGCAGCAGGTTCCGAGGCACCTCGGGGGGGGGGGGGGCCGCGGGCACATGCCTCCCGGCACCGGGCACGGCGGGGCCCCAATGGCCACACGGCCGCCGCCGGTCACAAAGGGAGTCGCACCCCCTTTGTGTCTCCCCCCATCGCACCAAGGGGGAAGATGGGCCGCGAAACGGGCGTCCGACAGCCGCTTCGCCCCCGGGGATACCCACTTTTATCGCAGGAGGGGTCGTCCATGTCGAAACAGGGTGGGTTATCCAGGGGCGGCCCCCCCTTCACCCAGCGGATGGGCCCCAGCCAGTTCATCTGCTTCTCCGACCCCACATAGTGCCCTACCACCTGCAGAGAAAGGCAGTGGGGTTTGGGTCCCGTGGCCAGAACTCCTCCCCCGCTCTGCGGCCTGATTCACACGTGCTATGGGCACGGGGTCGGGCACCCCCCTCGCCTCCCTGCCCATCCCGCCCGGCCAGAAGCCCGCATCCCGGCCTACCTTGCCCCGCGGGGCTCCCCGGCGGCCCTCCTGGGACATGCCGGGGCCACGGGCGGCCCTGGGGCCACCATCCCACACGCCTCGCCCCCGCACCTGGTACTCGCCGCTCTCCGGGTCCGCCATGGCCCACAGGTTGAAATCCGTGTCTCGGTCGTTGTTCGCATCCATGCTGACGGTCCCCGTCACGCCTGGGGGGGGGGGGGGGGGGTGAGAGGCGGCCTGCTTGCCTGCCTGCCTGGGCCAGGGGCCCCCAGAGCAGCCGAGGGGCCGCTGCCTCTCTCAGGGGGAGTGGCGGGGGGCTGGCCCCGCTGCTGGGGGGGGGCCCGCCCCCCCCCCCCCGCCCGCTCCAGGCCCAGCTCCTGTGGAGGCGGCTCTCCCCAGCCGCGCGGGGCGCGGTCTGCGCCGGGACCGGCCAAGTCCGCTGGCAAACTCCCACCAGGCCAGCCCCCCCCTGCCCGCCCGCCCGCCCGCCCGCCGCGCCCCGCCGGTACCCTGCAGCTTGCGCCCCTTTATCTTGTCCAGGATGTCGGTGGTGTTGCGTTTGGTGCCGCCCTCGCGCAGCGTCTCGATCAGCGCCCTGGCGTAGAGCAGCAGCCCGTCGTGGAAGCAGCCGGCCACCAGGTTCTTCTGCGCGGCGCGGGGGGGGGGGGGGGTCACGCCGGGCGCTGCTCCCGCCCCGCGCGGCTCCCCGGACACCCTCCGCCTCCTCGCACATGCCCCCCGTTTCCTCCAAGGCACTCAGCGCAGCCAAGACCGGGGGGGGGGGCTTGAGGCTGGTCCAGGCCACCGCGAGCCGGCGGGGGACCGAGCGCCGCTCTCCTCACGACCCCAGAGCCCCCCCGGGAGGCGGTGGGGGAGGAAGCGCCGTGGGGGCGCCTGGGCATCGGAACCGCTCCGGGCGCGGCGCGGGCGCACAGGCGGCTTCCTGTCGGCAGAGGGATGCTGGGTGGGCTGGCCGGGAGGCGGGGGAGGGTCTCAGCCCCTTCCCCTCTTGGGAGGCGCCTTTGTTACCGGAGCCTCCAGTGGGCAGATGGGACGGTGGGAGCCCGCGCCGCCCGCCCCCCGAAGGCGCCGCCACAGCGGGAGCAGCTGAGCCCCCCGCCTGCATGCAGAGCCCCCCCCGCGGGGGGCAGCACTCCCCCAGCCTCCCCTGGGCAGCCGGCCGATCTCTATCGCGCGCACAACATCCTTTCCCACGTCGGAGCGCGCCGCCTCGCCCCCTCCCTCGCCGTCGCAAGCGCTGGCGCCCTTCGGACGCTGCTCCCCGGCTGGGCAGCGCTCGCAGCTTCGGATCCCAGCGAAGCTGGAAGCGGTGCGCCGGAGCCCCGGGCCTCCGGGGGGCGGGGGGGCCGGCCAGGCCCGCGCTCCACACGGCCTCGTCCTCCCAAGCGGCCTGAGGGCGAGGCCGGGCCGGGCCTTGGCGGGCGAGGGCCAGCCGGCCGGGCCGAGCCCCAGCGTGCGGAGCGAGCGAGCGAGCGGCCACGCTCGGCTCGGCTCGGCTCGGCTGGCCTGCGACTGGGCCTGCTCCACGCGCGAAGGGCCGTGGGAAGCGGCCGGTCCTGGCGGTGCGACCGAGGCTCCAGCGCAGCACCGGGGAGCTGCACCCGCACAGTCCGAGGCGGCAAGCTGCGGAAACAGCTGGTGTGAGGAGGGCGGCCTTGCTGAGCGGGGGACGCGGGGGGCATCTGGAAGCCTCCAGCTGGGGGCTGCAGTGCTGAGGGCCGAGGGAGTCATAGACTCGTAGAAAGAGAGCGAGTCAGAAGGGGCCTCCCGGGCCATCTAGTCTGCCCCCTGGCTCCAGCCGGCTCCGCTCACGACATGCCCACCGTGTGCATGTCTGGTCTGTCCTTGAACTAACCAGTGCCCCTGGACAGCAGGGGGAGGGGCTTTAGGCTCCAGCCCTTCCCTGCCCCCATCTCTGCCCATGGGAAGACTGCTGTGGCGCCACTCCCTGGTTAGCCCCAAGAATTACCCCCCCCCGCCCCCAGGGGTGATTGGAGGCATCCGGCCTTAGCATGCAAAGGCCTGTTCCCTGCCCCTCTTTGCGTGGCCTTTTTGGAGTGACCGCTGGATCAACCCTCCCCTGCCACTACAGGCTCACTGGTAACCCCAGTGCTCCAGGGGGACAACCAGCACCCCCAGGTGCCTCCCCAGGGGAGTCCGCCTGAGAGCTGCCCTGCAGCCCCGACGCTGACAGCCGGGCGCCTGCCGCAGCCTCCTCTTCCAGGTGGGCTCCGCCTCCCCAAACGCTCCCCGGTCCTTCGCCATTCTGCCCAGCTGCTGCAGCCGCATGGCGGGATCCCGCATCCCTGTCTGCCTCGCCGGCCCTGCAAGCGAGGCATTTCGGGGGCCACGAGGGCTCCGCAGAAGAGCAGCCCATTCAGCGCGGCACATGCAGCGGCTGACAGGCGCCGACATGCGCGGGCTGGATGGCGAGCGAGTCAAAGGATCCCGCCGTTCCGCAGGACACGTTACTGGGCCTGTGGAGAGGACGGTGGGTGGCTGGGGCAGCCGCGGGAGCAGAGCAGACGGCCGGGGTCAGGCCTGGCGGCACCGGGTCCCTGGGCCTGCTTCCCCACTGAACCGTCTCTGGCTTCTGGTTCAAGGCCATTTTAGGTTGGCCAGCCATGTGCTGCCACATCCAACCGGGCACAAGCAGGCCGGTCACCGTGCAGAAGAATAAATGGGCCCACGTCTGTTTTAAAACCACGGAATAAGGGGCTCGCGTTAAAAGCAAGCAGATTTCGACTAGGCAGCCGGAAGAATTCCCTGACTGGCAGCGCGGTTTGACCGGGGAACTCGTTACCGGGGGAAGCTGCGGGCTCCCCCTCACCGGAGGCATTCGGAAAGGGTCTGGACAGCCCTCTGAAGGAGGCGATGTGACTTAGTGTCCTGCGGGAGAAGTGGGTGGGACCCCAGGCCTTCTGGCCCCTTCCAGCACCACTACTCTGTGATTCTGTGTGGGGAGACTTGGTCCGGCCCCTGAGGGTTTCCCGGGTGGAGGGCGCCCGCCAGGGAGGTGCTGCGGGGCTGCAGGGAAAGCCCTTCTGGGGACTCACCAGAGAGTCATTGAGCTCCACCTGGAAGTCCCTCCGGGCACGCAGGATCAGCTGGTTCTGGAAGTGCCGGTACTCCGGGTTTTGGGGCTCGTGGTAGGTGATCACCAGCACCGTCTGCAGCAAGAGCAAAAGGCCGTGAGGGGGTGGGCAGGAGCGGTGCCGGCTGGCCAGCCCCCCCCCCCCCATGCTGCGCTGCACAGACGAGCGGGAGCAGTGCCAGACCCAGGGTTCCGCGGAGGACGGGGGGGCAGCTGCAGCGGAGCCCACCGGCCCCAGGCCCGAAGCTGGCAACCCCCGAAGCAGCCCCCCAGGCCCCCTTCTGCTCCATGCCAGCTCGCCTCCCAGCTGCTGCCTTCCACGGGATGGAAGCCGAGGGATGGGGCCGGGGGCAGGCAGGACCGCCCGGCAGGCTGACGCCCGGTGTTCCAGGCCCAGGTGCCAGGGAGCCATGCCCGTGGCCGCAGCTTTGTGGCTAGCCACGTATCCCCACAGCTCGAAGGATCTCCTCTGACTCTTCAGCAACTCGGCACCAGCAGTGCTCAGCAAGAAGAACCAAGGCTGGCCAGGACAGAGGTGATCCTGAGGACTAGTCACATGAAAGCTAAATGGGGGCACCTCTCCCTTGCCCCCAACCAAAAGGGGCTCCTGCTTCCCACTTGCACAGTCAGGCTTCCCCCTCCTCCTCCTCCACATCAGCTCGAGGCCACACTTCCCACCCTCCCCACTGCGCCACGGGGGCCCCACAAAGGTCCACGCCGGCCCCAGATGCTCTCCTCCTCCCCAATGCTCAGCCCTTTGCCGAGCCCGCCAGAGCCCCGCCTCAGCGCCTGTGCTTGCCTGGGGCCCAGCCGGGCAAGGCCGACCAAGACACCCAGGGTGGGGTGGGGGACACGGGGTCCCTCATCAGGGGATGCCCCAGCCAGGCCGGGAGGGCAGGGGGAGGAGACGGCTGCCGCGGCAGCTCCCCAGGCCCCGGCAGGCGTCTGCTCCCCCTGCTTGGCTTCCACGCTGTGGGAGGCAGGGCCCAGCCTGCTCCCCAGAGCAGGGTCTGTTCCCCCGGCCAGTGAGGCCCCGGGTGCGAGCTCTCCCTTGGCTCCAGGCGACTGCTGGGAGGGGGGAGCCCCAGCCGCCGGTGCTGCAGGAAGGGGCTCGCATGGGGGCGGCGGGGGCTGCCGCCTCTGCTCTGCTGTGGGGCGGCCCAGGAGCGCTGTCTGGAGGGCTGGGCTCCTGGAGGACCACTGGTTGGGGCAGTGCAGCCTGCACGGCTCAGGACCTCCCCCCGCCCAGGGGCCACTCACCTCCATCCTCAGCCCCAGCCTCCAGGGCACGTCCCCCGTGGCCCAGCGAGCCCGCCCCCGAAATGCCTGCACCGTCCCCCCGCGCCCCCTCCGGGTGCCGCCTGGGACCTACCCGGAAGGCCTCCCGCAGGCCTCCTGGGTCCTGGCCCTCCTTGCTCTGCCAGGGCTTGGCGGCCTCCCGGCGGCCCTCGGTGCGCAGGCTCTCCCCAAAGACGTCCACGTAGAAGAAGACGTAGTCGCCGTTGGCCATGCTCTCGTAGTGCGCCAGGCGCAGGACCTGGTGCAGCATCTCCAGCGGACCGCAGATGTAGATCACTGTGGGGAGAAGCCGGGGGGGGCTCAGTGTGGACGAGGAGGGGTGGGGCGAGGCCCCCGGCACGGGGCAGGGAGGCGGCGCCAGGAGCACTGCTCCCTCCCCGTTGCCGGGAGTCCGGCCTCGACGGTGGCCTGGCTGGGGGCTGCAGCCTGGAGCTCCGTCCAGGGAGACGGAGGGGCTCTGAGAGGCGCTTCCCCTGGGCAGGCGGAGGCATCCAGCCTGTCCTGGGTGGGGGTGTCTCCCGCCAGGGAGCAGCTCTGCAGCTCGGGCTGCTCCTGGAGCCATCCGTGTCCCTTGAGGCCCGGCGGCTTCCGTGGCTCGGAGTGCCTGCCACCAGCTTTGGCTGGCAGCTCAGCTGCGCCCCTTTCTGGCCTGCGCTCAGTCATCTGTGCTCTGGCCATCTGGAGGCTGGACTGCTGCAGTGCATTCTACCCGGGGCTGTCCTTGAAGACTGTCTGGAAGCTGCAGCTTGTGCAAAATGCAACAGCCGGACGAAGAACAGGGACCGCATGGTCTGATCTCGTGGCCCATTGTACTGGCTGCCTAAATGATTCTGAGCCAAACCCAAGCTGCTGGTTTTCACCTATAAAGCCCTCATGGTTTGGGAGCACAATACCTGGTGGAACGCCTCTCCCAGCCTTCATCTGCCCGGACGCGACGGTCAGGTTCCGAGGCCTCCCTCCCACCGCTGCCTCCAAGGGCAGCCACAAGGAGAAGGGACTTTTCAGGGGCGACCCCCACCCCTGGCTTGGAACAGGCTCCCCACTGGGACCCCCTTGGCACCATCTTGACTAACTTTTCAGCACCAGGTCAAGACTGTTCTGTCCTGCAGGCATTCAGTTAGACTAGTGGGGCTTAACCTTTTCTCAAAGTTACTGTAATTTTAAAAATCTGCTTTACATTTGGGCTCAGATTTTGTATGGTAAACCTCCCAACAGCCTTGGCTAATGGGTGGTGTAGAGAACAGGCAAAGAAACAGAGGCCGTAGGGCTGCCCTTGCTCCCCTGGCCCTGCATCTGCCACTAGGATGCCCTGCTCCCTCTGGTTTGGCCACACCTCCGAGATCGCCGCCATCCCAGCGGCAGCCGATCAGCCCAAAAGGGGCACAAAAGCCCGTCCATTTCAGCGCAGAAAACTCCGCGTCCGTGAAGGCCTCTGAAGCCAGAACGTGGCGTGCACAGGGGCCGCGTAGGGCTGCCGAGGGGAAGGCCTTCCCTCCCGCATCCCCTGGTGCCAGAGGCCGCTTGACCGCCATCCCAGCAAGAGGCCACTGGCCCAAGGGCGGCCGGTGGCCAGTCGCCTGGGCGTGAAGCCCATTCAGGCGCTCCTGCTCGAGTTCAGGACCGAAACGGTCTCCCCTTTGCCCCACTGCATGTGACATGGGTGGCAACCCCACTCAAAGAGGTGGGGGGGGGGAGGCAGCCCTGCCTGGCTGCCACTCCAAACCCAAACAGGAAAATCGTTTTTCATCCCTCACAATTCAGGAAACAAATGAAACACTGATCCAAATTTCCCAAAGGTCGCGAGTAGCACAATCCGCTCCGTCAGCTCTTCCCCCACGTCAGGAAATAACGGCAGCCGAGCCTCGGCTCTCAGCCGGCAAGCAGCCTGCTCCAGCGCGAGCCCTGGTCGCCTGCTCCCCGTGAAGGTGCGCGCACCACCGGGTCAGGGGGACGGCTGCCCACCTCACACGCGGGCGTCTCTTAGCCAGAACTGCTGGCAATAGTTGAGCATCCTTGCTGAATAAGGAAGCTGGCCCATGATTTGCCCCCCTGGCACCAGTGCTCGGCCGGTTTCGGGATGATGGATGCAGGAACGTCCTGGAAAGAGGCAGACAAAATTCCTGATTCAAAAGCCTTATGATAAGGACAGAGCTCCCTAAGAGGGAAGGAAGGGTATGCCTTACACCAGTGGTGGTGAACCTATGGCACGCGTGCTACAGTGGCACGCAGAGCCCTCTCTGTCGGCATGCGAGCCAAGTCACCCGAGCATCGCCCCAGCAGGCGAGCATCGGATAACAGTGCACTTAGGGGCCATGCGCATGCTCAGAAAGGGGTAGTGGTGCCAGGCGATGACATCGCAAGCCACAAGTCATTAGCCCCAACTCGCATGGCTGGTCAGTGCACTGCCAAGGAGGTGTGTGTGTGCATATTTGCTTGGACTGGCTGTGAGTTGTTTTTTCAAAACTGAAACCTCAGTTTTCAGGTTTTATTGCAGCGTTGGCACTTTATGATAAGTGGGTTTTGGGTTGCAGTCTGGGCACTCGGTCTCTAAAAGGTTTGCCATCACTGGGTTAGGGTTAGGAAAACTAGGAGTCCTGGCAGAATTTTGATGGTTGGAATGTGTTTGGAGTGGGCAGAAATGTTGAGCTGTGCAGAAACAGCTACTCAAGGAAGGCTTTTTCAAAATTGCCCTCTTTTCAATGGCGCTTTAGCCCTATGTTAGGGTTAGGGCTGTGCACCAAGATAGGGTTAGGGTTAGAAAAATGGTGTGTCCTGGCATGATTTTGATGGCTGGAATGTGTTTCGAATGGGGGGAAATGTTGAGCTGGGCAGAAAAAGCTACTGAAGGAAGGATTTTCAAAATTGCCCTCTTTTCAATGGAACTTTCACCCCATATTAGGGTTAGGGGTGGGCACCAGGGTAGGGTTAGGGTTAGAAAAACGAGGTGCCCTGGCAAGATTTTGATGGTTGGAATGTGTTTCGAATGGGCAAAAATGTTGAGCTGTGCAGAAACAGCTACTCAAGGGAGGCTTTTTCATAATCGCTGCTTTCCACGGTATTTTAGCGTGACTCATTAGCTGCTACTCATCTGAGCTTTCTCATTACTGGTGAGCGCGCTGCGAAGGATATAGGTAGGTAGATAGGTAGGTAGGTAGGTAGGTAGATAGATAGATAGATTTGCTTGGACTGGCTGTGAGTTGTTTTTTCTAAACTAAAACCTCAGTGTTCAGGTTTTATTGTAGTGTTGGCACTTTGCGATAAATAAGTGGGTTTTTGGTTACAGTTTGGGCACTCGGTCTCTAAAAGGTTCACCATCATTGCCTTATACCATCTGATAAGTATGACCCTGGGCCCCAGTCCATTCCCATTCCAGTGAAACACCTAAGATTTGGCATTTGCTGAGTGTGGAAGTCGCTCCTTTTCCTATCAATCCATTGTGGAAGAACCAAAGTCAAACTTAAAAAAAAAACACCATTCTTTCATATATAGGCCAGAAGAAATATTTAAAACTTTATATCCATCTGTTGAGGTTCTATATATACTATTATGCTTGCTTTTGATCAACGGATCAAATAAGATTCTGTCGGTTTTGTGTTTTTGACTGTATCCAAAACAATGTTGATATAGAGCCAAACAAAGACACAAGCAAGCCTCCTGCGCCAAAGATCATCAGACCGAGCTGCCGGGAGAGGGTGGTACGTTTTCTGCCTCAGCATGGCCAGGATGGCGCCCTTAAACCCTTGGGGCGTGATGGGCAAATCCCAATTACTGTTAAATTATACTGTTAAATTATATTGTTTTATATCTGTTATTTATTTATGGTTGTGAGCCGCCCCGAGCCTTCGGTGAATGGGGCGGCATAGCAGTTCCCTAAACAGATAGATAGATAGATAGATAGATAGATAGATAGATAGATAGATAGATCCCCCTCAAGACTGCCGCGTTTGCACGTGCAACTCGCATGGCAAAGCACAGAGAGCCTCGCTCTGGGGCAGAGGTAGCTCCCTGTCCGCACGGCGCTCCCTCGTTGTGCTGCATCAGCCACAGCCAGAGCTCCTCCTCTGCGTGCCCCGCTGCCCCCTCAGAGCTGCCACGGACAGCCGCATCGCCGGCCTGGCCTTGCCAGGCAAACCCCTTCGAAGTCACCCAGTCAAGGACCCAGGAAGTCGCAGACTTGAAACAGCCAAGGGGAGGCTGCGGCCAACGCGCTCCTCCCGCTGGACGACTGCGCGCGAGGGCTGGCCGGGCCCCGCTTCCCACGTACAGCCAGCGCGGGACCTGCAGCGCTCTCGGAGGAGGCTGCCCGGGCTCCCTGCGGCATCTCCCCCTCACCTGCACAGAGCAGGCCGTGTGGGGCAGGGTCCCCGTGTGATTCCAGAGCAGCCGGGCTGCACTTGTGAGCTCGGAACGGGCGGCTCTCCCAGGGGACGGGCACCATTATACTGGGAGGCCTCACTCCCTGGTCCTGGCCGGGAGCTGCACTCCGCGGTGTTGCTTCCTGGAAGCTAGGGAAGGGAGGGTTTTCCAGCTGGAGCATCCGGGAGGCAACGGGGTGCAGGGGGACATCCTGGACCTGGATTTGGCCAAAGGGAGGAGCTGGTGGATGATGTGTGGACTGGGGAGCTCTGGACAGAACTGGCCACTCCTTCCCATACTTTGCGATCAGGTGCTCAGGGAGGAGCAGTAGGTCAAATACTAGGAGATGGGACTTCTTGGGGGCCACCTCCAGTCCAGGGAAGGCCAGGCTGGGGAAGCCTCCCGGAGAGGGTGCTGGAAGGCCAGGGAGTCCAGGAGCAGGTATGGCTCCGAGAAGGGGGGTCTTGGGGGCGCAAGCCTTGGCGATGCGGCTGATCCGCGAGCGGGGAGGCCTTGGAGGGCCACTGGATGTGCAGAGTGGTGGTGGGAGGGATCGGGAGGAAGGGGGACCCTCACGGGAAATGGCCCTGGGGCAAGTGGACCAGGGGGCCCACCGGGGAGGGGCAGGGGGCTTCTCCGCAAGGCTGAGGCTGCGTATGAGCTCAGACTAGTGGAAAATGTCAAAAGGGAGAAAAAGCGCATCTGCCTTCATTTCCAGTGCAGCTGCTTAAGAGAGGGAGGGGATCCGGGCACTGACGGGAGGGAACAGGCCCAGATGCTAAATGAACATTTGCTTCTGCGTTCTCCCCAAAGCAGGATGGGGGAGATGTGCCAGGGGGTGGGGGCAGATGAGGCTGGGGTTCTGGGGGCACAGAGTCACTCCCCTAGATGTTCAGCAGCTCCTTGGGGCCCTGGATGTT